GGTGAGGTGGGCAGAGGGCTGTCCCAAGACTTGGAGCTCCTCATGTGTGTGCTGTTGTAGGGGTGGAGGGGGTCAGATCTGAGGCTCAGCTGACCTCAGCAAACAGGAGCAAGTGGTCCCCCTGTTAGCCAAAAACTAAGAAGTGGGGATCCTAGGGACAGCCAGCCTGAAGTCTCCTTGAACTGCTCATCGGTATTTCTGCTGCCTCGCCATAATCTCTGCCTGGCTCTGAGCACAGAGCAGAGGGTGGCTGTCCTGCCAGACGACTATGGTTGGGAGGGGGAAAATGTAAGAGGGGAACCTGGCCCCAATCCTCAGCACCCCAGCCTCTCCCTCTCCTCTCCTCAGACCTGGGGTGGGGCAACTCTGGTCTGGAGCATCAGTCAGCCTCTGGCTTCCCTGTCTCTTTTACCTCTACCCGGAGGGTGGAGAAGCCCCTCCATCTCAGGCAGACCCCGCCTCAGCAAACTGCAGCCTGCTCCCTCCCAGTCACTGACGCCAGCTCAACAGCTGAGGCCAATGGGAAGGGGGGGCAAAGAACAGAGCTGGAGAGAAGAGCAGGGTGTGCTGACCATTTTCAAGCCCTTCTTCTGTGTGGCCCCAGTTGCCTGCCTCCCCAACCTTTCCCTTGCTTCCCGTGTGGCTCAGCTGACCTGGGTGCAATCCCTGTGTTGGGAAGATCCCCTGGAGAAGGGAACAGCTACCCACTCCAGTGTTCTGGCCTGGGGTCACAAAGAGTCGGACACGACTGAGTGACTCGCGCTTGCACTTTCTTTCCACCCTTTCCCACCACTTCACAGTCTGGTCTCTTCCCACCAGGCCCACCCTCCTCCACTCACTACACCCACCCCCCTACCTGATACTCTTGTCTGAACCACTGGTTCCTCCCCACCACTGGTTCCTCCACCAGCTCTGTCCTCGAGTCAGTATCATTTCTCCCAACCATTACTCCTTCCCAGAGGACCCTACTGTCACCCCTAGATGGTCTCCCCTCCTCCACCTTCCCCTCCTCCCACCAGTGGCCACACCAGTGCACAGGTGCCCTCTCTGGCCCACGACCCGCACTAGCATCCCTCAGTGGGAGGGCCCCAGCCCGTCCCCCACTCATCTGTCCCTCCCGCAGCACCTGGCTGCCCTCGCCCTCTAGCCACTGGTAGCAGTGGAAGCGGAGGGGCGCGCCCCCCGGGCAGCATGAGCTGGAGCCAGCGGCAGAACCAGGCGTCCCATGCCGAGGGCGGGGGGAGGCCCGGGCAGTGCTGGGGGCGCCTTGCGCACGCGCACCAGCAGCACCGGGCCCACGTCCTGGGGGGCCGTCACCTCGAAGTCCATGGGGGTTTGAGTGCGAGGGGGTCTCGGCCAACACCGCACTCATTGCGTCTTGGCGGAAGTCCTTCCCGAAGCCGTCCAGCCTCAGGCGGGAGCTCTCGTCTGGGGTCCCATCCAGGCTGACCGACACTCTGTCCCAGGTCCCCGAGCCCAGGAGGGAGCCGGTGGCCACACGCACAGTGTACTTGCTCATGACTTGCCGTCTAGGGGTCGGAGGTGCTGCAGGGAACCAGGCAGGGTTGGCTGGCTGTAGGAGGGAGAGGATGGAGAAGGGGTGGAGAGTCGTGGGAGGTGGGGCGTGTGGTTCCGCGAGGCCCCGTGTGCCAGGCTGGGGCCCCGTGGCTTGTCCCTGCCAGGATTCTCCCCTGGAGCTGCGACCCCGAAGCCCACCCAGCACCTCTCCGCCGCCCAGGCCCGCTCCGGCAGCCCGCCGTCTAACCTTAGCTCCTCTTGCTGTCTAAGGGGCTCTGCCTCCCTGCAAAGGGGTCTGCTTAAGGTTACTCCAGGTAACTCCGCCTCCTCCGTGTCCACACCTTTGCCACTGGACATTCCGGCTAATTTGTTAAGCCAGAATGCCTAGCCCGTGGGGGGGAAGGGACATAACCACTGTCTTTATAGCACGAATGACCCCGTGTCCTTCCGCTGCCGGCCAGGCCCTCTCTCCATTTCTGCGCCTGTGGTCTGGTGCCTATCCTCAGAGCTTTCTCGGTAGGGGCGTGATCTGTTGCATCCTCGCTGGGTAGTGATCCCAGGCCTCCAGGAAGTCTAGTATGGATAGGGGAGACAGCAGGGGTACACAAATGTGGGGCAGAGGCTGGAAGAGGACCTGGCACTGAAAGAAAGGACGCAGGCTATAGGCACTGCAAGGATGGGGCGTCCAGCCCCTCCCTCCAGCCTGTATAAAGTATAAGTTTCAGTTTCAAAGTATAAGTTTCAAAAAAATTAAAACCACGATTCATACAGATCAGAGTGAACACAAAGCAAAGCTGAATGGCACAAAGTGGAGAGGGCTGGTAATCATCATCAAAGTGGTAATGCTGGTTCCATGAACAGTTGAGGAGCTGCTATTTGCAGGCAATTTTATAAAGGATGTTAAGTATAAAATTACTGAGTGAGATACCAAACTAGCTACTGTCCTACACGGTGATAAACTACCTCCTTTGGAATTCTTTTATTTTACTGGACAGAAATCATTTGCCTCTCTACCAGACACAAGTTATGTGAACTTTACATAAACTAGCAAAATCAAGCAATGGTACGTTCTTCTAGAAAACTATCCTTGAAAGGACAGGCAGTTGTCCTGTTGATCAGTTTTGGATATTTTTTTCTTTTTAGAGATTTATTTATTTTTGGCTGCACTGAGACTTCAGCGCGCAGGCTTTCTCTAGTAGCCCAGAGCGAGGGCTACTCTTCGCGGCTGTGCTTGGGCTTCTCATTGTGGTGGCTTCTCTTGTTGCAGAGCACAGGCTATCGGGAGCTCGGGCTTCAGTAGTTGTGGCTTGTGGGCTCTAGAGCGCAGGCTCAGTAGTTGTGGTACATGGGCTTAGTTGCTCTGCAGCATGTGGGATCTTCCTGGACCAGGGATTGAACTTGTGTCTCCTGCACTGGCAGATGGATTCTTACCCACTGTGCCACCAGAGAAGTCCCATGGAGATATATATATATATATTTTTTTTTTTTCTTAATAAGGCTGTTCCTATAGGTATATCAGGCAATCAAATAGATCTCTTTTTCTGGGATTTCCCCCACCCCGTCCCCTGCCTTCACTCTCAACTTAAAGTCCCCATTCCCTTATGCCTCATCATGGCCCTGCTGTACAATCCCACAACCTTAGGGTTTTTTTTTTTTTACCATCAGAGAGATCATACCATGATAATCATTGTGCAAGTAATTTTCCACCTACTAGCAATATATCATGGATGTTTTTTCTGTGTCAGCATTTGAGGATTGAATTTGTTACCAGCTACATTATTTTTCTCAGTCGGATTGTTTCCTAAATTTCTAAAAGTATTTTCCTATTATAAGCAATATTGCCTAGAACATCTTGTAAACATTAGATTTTGAAGTTTGAGACTTCCAAGAGTTCTCCTCCAAAGCTACACTGTCAACTCTTTCACCAGGGCCCTGTGGCTTCACACCCGTGACCCTTGACCTCTCACACCCACCCACACCTTTGGTTCCTTGCCTTTACTTTTTATGTCCCACAACCCTTGTGTCTGCACTGTCTCATTATCCTCCTTCTGTGCTAATGTCTTATAGTGTTGCATCTGTTTCTACCTCTAGCTACCCAGGGCTTTATCCTTCTCTATCCTTAAAACTCAACATTCAAAAAATTATTATCATGGTCCCATCACTTCATGACAAATAGATGGAGGGAAAGTGAAAACAGGACAGATTTTATTTTCTTGGGCTCCAAAATCACTGTGGACAGTGATTGCAGCCACGAAATTAAAAGATGCTTGCTCCTTGGAAGAAAAGCTATGACGAATCTAGACAGTGTATTCAAAGGTCCGTATAGTCAAAGCTATGGTTTTTCCAGTAGTCATGTACGGATGTGAGAGCTGGACTATAAAGAAGGCTGAGTGCCAAAGAATTGATGCTTTTGAGTTGTTATGCTGAAAAAGACACTTGAGAGTCCCTTGGACAGCAAGGAGATCAAACCAGTCAATTCTAAAGGAAATCAACCCTGAATATTCATTGGAGGGACTGATGCTGAAGCTGAAACTCCAGTACTTTGGACACCTGATAAGAAGAACTGACTCACTGGAAAAAACCCTGATGCTGGGAAAGATTGAGGGCAGGAGGAGAAGAGGGAGACAGAGGATGAGATGGTTGGATGGCATCACTGACTCAATGGACTTGAGTTTCAGCAAACTCCAGGAGATAGTGAAGGACAGGGAATCCTGGTGTGCTGCAGTCCATGGGGTCACAAAGAGTCGGACATGAGTGAGTGACTGAACAACGACAATCTCTAGTGACTCACTCCACCCTATTTTGGAACACTAGACAAGGAGTGGCAGGAGGTAAGCTGGACTCTTCCCCAGCTTTTGGGACCTTCCACCCTACAATTCTTCCTCTTTTCCCTTTCCATGACTCCCACCTTCCAGAAATTCATGGTCTAGTTGAGAAGACACACAGGTAAATGAAAAAGGACACTGGAGGGTTTTAGGAATCATGTGTGTATTCCTCCATTCAACACCTCCTGAGCACCTACAGTGTGGGGAGCAGTTATGAACCCTGTCCTTGAGAGCTTACAGTCTAGTGACAGAGGGAAGGACAGGGCTCAGGAGTTCTGAAACATGCCTCCACGGTAGCCTCAAGGGCAAGTGAAGGATGGAGGAGGCATGCCAGCTTCATCTTGGACGTCCCTCCTACATCACTCCTGTCACAGTCCATTGGCCAGAATCGGTCATGTGACTACAACCTAACTGAAAGGTAGGCTGGGAAACGCTGGGAAGTAGCTGAGATATTTGTTGAGCACAGATTCTCCCTCATGGAATTTGAATATTGAGCCAAGGACAAAAAGTAGGAGGAGCTTGCCTGAGGACAATGTGGCAGGGCCTGAGGACAATGTCTGCTGGTTCTTTTGCCCAGAGTTTCCAGTTTCGGTCATTCCTGACTGAGTTTAACTCCTATTGTGTTTAACCCATTCTTCAGTCCCTCAAAACACTCAGTTTCTTTTTCACAAATTCCTTTATTGCTTGAGTTTGCAGGAATTGTTTTAAACAAAAGAAGCTTGACAGCTGTATCTCTGCATCATTTGGGGCTGCACTGAATCTCAATAAAGAATGAACAGTTCCAGTGCTGTGAGTTGCATTCCCCTTTCTGAAGCATTGTTCTATTTATTTCAGTGTCCATGTTTGTGCAATTATTCAAATATATATTGTATCTGTCTACAGTGTTTTATAAAAATCAGTGAAACTGAAAAAACCAGAGCTCTATTGCCTACACTATGAGACAGGGATGGAAATCATCAGGTGAATTCAAGGGGACACATTTTTGGCCTTAACGGATGTTCACTGAGTCAGAACAAGAAAAAAGAAAAACAGAAGAATGTATATGAAATGTTAGAATTCTGTCATTGAAGATTGAATCTAGAAGGCAATGTATGATGAATTATATATCGCTTAAGTCTCCAGAAGTGGAAACTGTTTTATAATACGCAAGGCTTTTGTCCAACTTTGGGGCATGTTTTTTCAAAAAGTGGATGTTGGCACTGCCTGCTTGTCCTGGGCAATATGTCCTCCTGCCTTGCTTCCTGTGGCTCCTTCTCAGTGGGTTGTTCATTTTAAAGCTGTGACCACAGGTCACTATCATCTTCTCTGGCAGTTTTCAGGCGGATAGTCTAGAGGAGGGCTGGCCTTGAGTCAGGTGACCATTAGGTCCAGTCAGCTGTGGTCAGTGGGACCAGGGGCAGGACTGTGTTCCCCCCATAGTACCCTTCCAGGGGGCTGCAGGTGTGCAGGCACTTTGAGGCTTAGAATCTTCAAAAGGCATAGTGGTGCCGTCCAATGAGGTTCTGTTCTCTGGGGTTTTATGTTTTTGCTTTGTTTCTGTTTCGCCATATGTGTGTTGGGGGGTGAGTTATACCAGGCTGGGGTGTCCCAGGAGAGGCATGGGAGGCCTGATTTTCTGGGGAGTCCTTTTCTCTGGGCGGCAGGTAGCCTAGAGCAATGCCCCATGGAGCCCTGTTCCCCAGGGCAGTTAGATGGAGACACTATTCTCAATGAGGGGAGGGTCCAGGTAGGGGTAGGGTAGCGCCAGGCTGCGGTTTCGCTCTTGGATGTCTCGTGAGATCTCAGCGAGGCGGCTCTGGAAGGCAGCGATGCTCCGGCGTGGGGCCTCCTCGATGAAGTGCTCATCTGGGTAGGTGCCCAGGGGCCGCTGGGAACCAAACACAAGGGTGGGTGAAGGGGATGCTATGCAGCTGCGACCCGCCTTAGCCATCCACCCCAGAGGACCTGAAGCAGCCTCTGATTGAGCCACCTTCCCCTAAACAGTGACGATAACCGTGGGCAGCTCTGAGGATGAAAGGCCCGGCCACCCTGGAATGTATCACACGTTTCCCTTGCAGTGAAGGGTGACTGCATCATCTCATTTGGCCCTCCGTGTGAGATGTCCAGTGACCATGTGTCCCCCTGGGAAGGCTCCGTGGGGTGTGTGACGGTAGAATGGGATCTGGGTCAGGAAGGGTAAACAGCATTGCCTCCCTTACCCCAGGGCTGGCCCAGCCGGGTTCCCAGCACCACACTCACTCGGTCTCCAGGCTCCTTGCTCAGCAGCCAGAGGGCAGTGACCACATCACACGTGGCATTGACTGGTGGGAGAGTGGCTAAGAACCCCTCCAGCCTGGCCTGGCCTTTGGAGGTGGGCGGTGGCAGCTGCATGGTGGGTGGCAGGTTGGGCATCCAGGCACCAAAGTCATACTGACAGGCAAGAGGGCAGAGTGAGGTGAGGAGCCCATCCTCCTCTCCAATCCTGCCCCCAACATTGACCCTTCTCACCTGCCCCGCACTGACAGCCGAATGCTTGGCCGAACAGTTGAATATCACCATGGTGACGTACTGTATCAGGGCTTCCCGCGTCCCCAGGGTGGAGGGTAGACCTGCAGGGAGAGCTGGGCTGGGAATGGGGCTATAAGGGTCCTGAGGACAATGCTGCAGAGGTCTGAGGGTGGGACCTAAGAACCGAGGACCCCCTACCTGAGCTCTCCCGGCCTAGGAAGCCCTCGGAGAAGATCTCCCACACCCAGGCCTGGAGTTCACTGTCATCGCGGACAGACTCATCACTCGGGTAGTAGATGTCAATCATTTCGGAGACAAAGCTGCAAGGTACATGGGGTTGCTGTCCCAGCTGTCAACCCCAACCCTGTCTGAGAAGTGCCCCTGCCCAGTCCTGGTGCTGTTAATGTCCATCCCTCCTCCTGGTGGGCGCCTCCGTGGGCCTTCCTTCTCCTTCCTCCCTGCCCCCAAGGCTGAAGCTCTCTGGGGCTTAATCCCTTACCGCTCCACTGCACCCCAGATCTGCATCCCATCATCCCGGTAGTAGTAGTCTGGGATGTCTTCAACTCCTCGGGCCCGGATATCATCAGGCAGACACAGGGCAGAATAGTTCAGCTGTTCCATGTTCTTCTGTATCAGCTCAGAGAAGCCTCCAATGCCAAGGCCTGTGGACTTGGAGATTGGACTTCTGGTTACCACAGCCCTTGTCCCAGAAGCAGGAGGTAATACTGTTTGGGGAGACAGGGCTACTCCCACCCCAGGATCTCAGAGTCTTCATACTGAAGGACTAGTCCACCCCCATTCTCCCTAAAGCAGTCCTTACCCTGTCCACCACCTGCCCAGGGGCGATGAGCCGTTCTCGGCCCAGCGTGTTGATATGCAAGGTATACCGAGTGTGAGGGATCAGCAGCTGTAAGGGTCAGAGAAGAGAACTGGGTAAAGCCTAAATAGCTCTGATCCCACGCCTTGCTTCACAGAGGCACCCAGCCCTGTAAATCACTCATGGAAAGAGATGACAGCAACAAGAGAGGCTGCCTGGGACAGAGATCAGGGGCTCCAGGACCAGTGATGGGGGCTGAGGTCCACCAGCATCCTTTTCTGTGACCTTGACCATTTGTATTCCTCTCTTTGGGTATCAGATCACTGGGCAAATGAGAGGGCTCATCTGGATGAGCTCTGTGAATCCCTCCAGCTCCAGCATCCTGTGATTTTCTGACCCCTGGGTAGGCAAAGCACCATGAATTGGGCCTGGCAATGTGGAACCATCCCCTAGAGCCCACCACTGAGTACCAGGCCCTGGGAACTGCTGATTGTCAGAAAGAATCAGCCTGGTTTGTAAAGGACAGGGTAGAGCCTGCATCCAGGATCTAGGAGGCTGTCTAAGGAAGAATCAGAAAGTCTCAGCAGCTGTGGACTCATCACACTGACAGAGGGGATGCTCCAGGCCCCTGGAGGGGATGAATCTGGGCCATCTGATGGCTTAGCAAAGCCCACCTTAGAGACATGGGCCTCTCTCTCATGGCTTCCCATCTCTGCATCAATCTGCAGAAAACCTGCTGGCCATGTTCTCACTTTGGCATCTGTCTACCCTAGGTCTCTCCTTCCCTAGGAGCTGGGCTCCTGGGACAGCTGTTGGATTGAGCTCTCCTAGAAGGGAATCTCTCTGGGGTACAATCTGCTGTCACATGTGGTCCTTCCTCTATCCCCAGCCCCATCATCTCACCCCAGCTTAGGGCTTGCCAGAAAGCAGCCCCTTGGGGCAGTTGTGCAGGAAGTTGCTACTGAGGCAGGATGGGGGCTTAGCATCCTGGCCTGGGAGGACAGGGCCATGTGGGGACAGGCTGCATGGATGAGGCACCCCGAGGGGCAGGCCCAGGTGCGGGGACGTGCAGACTTAGGGCACAGTCTGGGCCATCTTGCTGAGCCACTGACCTTAAAGAGGGGGTGGCAGTGGGGCAGCTGGCGCAGCGTAGCTAGGGCGAAGACCTCGGGCACCAGGTGTGCCTGTAACAGGTGTGTGAGGGCCTCGTGGATGGAGAACTCGGCATTGCGCACCCACGTCTTGGCCAGCAACCAGTCCCACTTGTCATCACTGGGCAGAAAGATGGGGCTGTTGGGCCCAGGGGTCTGGCTGAGCTGTAGGATGGGCCGGTGGGGAGAGGCAGCCTTGAGTGTCTGCCCACCTCTCAGACCACTCCCCACCCCTGCCCTGCCACCCACTGGCTGCTGACCTGGATGGCGAGCGGCAGCAGGGGCCCATGGCCGGGGTGCTGGTATAGCAGGGTCATTGGGGCTGTGGAGAACTGAGGCCTCCCATTGATGACATTGGTGCGGACACCAGCAAGGAGGCCGTAATCCACCAGGAACAGAGACCCCTTCTGCAGGAGAGAGCAGGGGAGCCTGGGCTGCCATCTGGCTTTCTGCAGGTGGGGAGTATGGGAATGCGGGAGAGGATGCAGGACTAGGAGTAGAGTGTACACAGGAGAGGGTGTTCTTGGCACGCCATGCACCGTAGGTCCTTAACCAATGTGAGTATGGTTCCTTTTCGGTAGGGGATGGGCCTGAAGGACTGAGATGGGGGTGTGCAGGGTCAGGACCCCCTGCCCCTCACCTCCAGCTCGGCCTGCAGGCTTGTTCCAGGGCCCAACACTGGGGCCACCATGGCATCGGTGACAGGGAAGTTCTTGGGGAGGTAGTGACAGCGTCGGATCAGGACGGGGTTGAGGCCATTCAGGAACTGGTAGGCAAAGAAGGCATCCTCCTGCCAGTGCTCAAACACGTATTCTGTGGGGAGGGGCAGGGGAGATGGGACTGGTCACCCCAGCCCCCAGGGGACTGCCCCTGGGCACCATGGTGGAGCTTCTCTTGGGTCCGTCCTGTGTGCCCCTCTCTTCTCGCTCTGTACCTTTCTCCGGGTGACCTCCTCTGATCCCTTGGCTTCAGTTCACCCAAGCAGCATATCTTAGACCCCAGCCCACCTGGCCTACCATCTCCCTGCCATCCCCACCTCTGTGACTCAAACACAGCACATCTGAGGCTGAACATGGGTTCCGGCTCCAGCCCGGGCCCCGCCCCATTGCCTGGCTTCCCAGGAATGGCACCTCCATCCACCAGATCACCTGGGGCAGAGCAGCTCCCCTCATCCTCCTCCCATGAAGTCCCGTTCATTCTCCACCCTCAGTAGCTCCTGGTCCTCCCAGCCATTCCGTGTCATCACTGCCTTGCTGAGGTTTCCATCTTCTGCTGACCACAACCAAAGCCTCATGTCCCGTCCTGCTTCCACTGCTGTCCAGACAGCCCATCCCCTATGGAACAACTGGCCACAGCATTCCCCAACAGGCAGCTGGTTGAAACTTCCCACTGCATATGGGAAAGGTCCGAGCTCCTACCACGGCCTCCACAGTTCTGCACAGCTGGGGGCCCAGACACCTCCCCTGCTTCGCCTCCTATCTTTCTGCCCTGGATCAATACTCTTTGGCCACAGCAGCATCTTCTGCCCCTAGGAGGTCTCTGCTCCTTCCATTTTCAGGGCCTTCACCTGCATCACCCCCCGAACCTGAAGCACCCTCTGTTTCCCCCACACCACGCCCAGCACTGTTGACACCTACGCAACTTTGAGGTCTCAAGTTTTGACTCAGCCTAAAGTCACCTCTGTGGGTCACTCCCTAGCTGGACCAAGCCAGCTGCTCCTTACACACTCTCACTGGAGCCGCGATGTGCAGGCTTCACAAGTGAACCTCTTGATTTACTTTTGAGCCTACTTTGCCTTTTGCCTGCTCAACTGGAAGCTCTGGGGGGACAAGAACTGTGTCCACAGCCCCTAAGACACTGTCTGGTGTGTAGTAGCCAACAAGTGTCTGATGGATTAAAAGGCATTAGAAGGTCAGAGATGCCCCCAGTACACATTTTCTTTTGTGTCTGGGGAGAAAGTAAGGCTCAGTGAGGATCACACAATGGACTAGGGCTTGGTTTTCTGACACTCCTGATAGGGAGAGCTGATGCCCCAGGGAAGAGGTCTGCAGCCCTCACCCACAGCTGGAGTCTTCCGGAAGTTGAACACCCGTCTCATTTCCTTCAGACTCTTCCAGAGTCCCTTGCGGTCCAGCAGCCCTTTGAGTTTCAGCTCAGCCAGCCTGCCAGAAGATTTGAGGGGTGGGGTGGGGGAGGCAAGAGGCCCTGGGAGACCCTCTCCTGTTGGCTAGGCTTATCCTTCCTGGGATTCCAAACTAGCTTCTGGGGCCCAAGGCAGTCACGGCCCCAAGGCTGCCATCACCCTGTGGGGATAGGTGGTGAGTAGAGGCCTTGCCCTGGGGGAGGGGGGTCATGTGACCCATATTCCTGATGGTGGGGAGAGCAGAAGGCAGGGGTCCTAGGGCATCTGAGACCCATGGACAGGAGAGGGGGTTTGTCCTCACGCAGAGCCGCCCCGCAGGTAGAAGGTGGTGTTCTTGGCCACAGAGTATTTGATGTTGAGGTTCAGGTTTTTTACAGTCTCCTTGTTGAGGCACCGAGGCCAGCCTGGGATGTAAGTCTTCCAGCTGGAGGGAAGAGCCAGAAGGCAGTCAGCAAGAAGCCTCAGGGAACCCACTGACGAGAGATAGGGGGTGGCAGACTCTTCAAGGCCCTGGTCAGGGCCAGCCCCTTTCCACAAGCAGGAGTCTTTCTGGGCTCTGCCTTTTCCCTCCATCCTCAAGGCTGCAGGGGGAGCTGCCATGTTCCCTGGAAGACTCCTCCCCTGATCCATTCATTGGTCCAGGGTTGGGCACCTGGCCAGAGAGGGGCCAATCAGAATCCTTCCTGGGGAACTGGCCATTGGGGCTGGATCTGGGGACATCTCTCTCTCTGGCTATCTGGGTTATAACATGTAAACATCAGGACTGCTAGTTACAGCCATTTCCCATTATGTGGCCTGGGAACAAAGAAAGCTGTTCTGCAGAGAGAAAAGTGAAGGAAAGAGAAGCATTTGGGGGCTCCAGAGACAGGGAAGAGAGTCACCTTGTTTCTGGCCCCTGAGATTTGGCTACGCTTCCAGCCCTCACTTCTGTGAATATCTCTGCGACCTGTTGACACATTCCTTTTTTTTTCTCTGTCTGCTAGTTGGAGTCTGTTTTTGTTTTTGCAAAACTCCCGACCAACAGAGATGCATTGCAGAGGGGACACTGTCCTGAAGGTGGGAGTGTGTGAAGGCATCAGTTGTGTTTGGCACGCATCCCATGGAGAGACACTTCAGCCTCTGTAGCTTAAGGGAGCCTAGAAATTTCCTCTGGTCTGGCCTAAAGCATCTCTAAATCCCTTTATCCAGCAGCAACACAGCCTGAGATCTCTGGGTGAAATGGTAAAATCATGACCGTGCAAAGCTGAGTTGACCCCAGCCAGTCGTCCTTTCATTCCTTCCCTTGTTCATTCTTTAGTTCATTCAATCATTGCCTTGGGTTCGAACAGGCACCCTCAAAGAACAATTTGCAATTAAAGTACACTGCCACCAAGTGGTGGCCAAACCCTGCTTTTCAAACTTCAATGTACAAAAATTTAATTCGCCCAGGGAATTAAAATGCAGATTCTCATTTAGTAGGTCTGGGATGGGTGGGCCCAAGACCCTGTATTTCTAAAGAGCTCCCAGGTGATGCTGATTCTGTGGATCTGAGACCTTGCTCTGAGTATTGAAGGTGTAGCCACCGGGAGCAGAGGTAACCAAGGGACATTATGAACAACAGTCTATACATTTGTGCAGGGCTTAGCAGCTGATAAGCTGCATTCATTACCATTTTCTCATTTGTTCTTCCTAAAATCACAGATCAGACTGGTATTCTCAGCTTCTTTTGCAGGAGAAAATAAGGATTAAAAAAGTTAAAGAATTTGCCTAACCTTTCACATCTTCTGCCCTGCACCGAGGTTGGCCCTGCATCTCCTGACTCCTGTGTCTTTGTTTTGCCAAGAAAGGAAGAAAGCACTTCTTCACTCCATGGACACAGCTGTCTCCATCTGTTCCCTCAGCTGGGGCCGTTGCTGGCAGATTGGGCCTCATGGTTTTCTCAGGGATATAATTCACAACACATGTGGAAGTACCAGGAGCCAAATGAGCCTGCAGCTGCTGTGCCCCCAGAGACCTGAAGCAAAAGCCTGCAGCCCGGGCTTCAGACACAGCCCAGGCTTCAGACACAGCCCAGTTGGCCAGATCATGACCTTTTGAAAACCTGCTCCTGAGTGGGGTCCCTGGCTTTCTGCCTCAGGAGACCCCAGAGGCCCCAGTCCCTTCTGCAGCCCTCCACCTTCTGCCAGGGGGCCCTCTAGGACTCAGCTATCCCAGCTGACCTTCTACAACGTTGAGCCCAGAGCAGAGAAAGAGCCCCCTCCCACCCCTTGCCCACCCTGAAGGATGAGTTTCCTGGGGGTTGGGGTGGCATATTTCTGGTTCTGCCCCTACTTCCAGGACACGGAACATGTTAATGTTTGAAAAAGCCCCAGGGGAAGAAAGGTGTCAGCAAGATTAAGGCATTGAGAGCAGTAGGTTTTCAAGGTTTAGTGGGCATGAATCACCTGGAAATCTCCTTAATACAATATTGTTGGCAACAAAGATTTACTATATCACACAAAGAATTATGCCCGGAACCTTGTAATAACCTGTGTGCCTGTGTGTGTTTAGTCATTCAGTCGTGTCCAACTCTTTGTGACCCTATAGACTGTAGCCCGCCAGGCTCCTCTGTCCATGGGATTCTCCAGGCAAGAATACTGGAGGTTACCTTTCCCTTCTTCAGGGGATCTTCCCAACCTGGGATCAACCCCGGGTCTCCCGCACTGCGGGCAGATTCTTTACCATCTGAGCCATCTGGGAAGTCCTGTAATAACCTATAGTGGAATATAATCTAGAAACAACCTGAATCACTATGCTATATACCCAAAACTAATATAATATTATACATCAACCATACTTTCATGAAAACACACCAGTATTGCTGCCCTTCCCCCCATATCTGATTCGGGAGGTCTGAGGAGGTTCTAAGTATCTGCATTTCTAGGAGTTTCCTGGTGATGCTGTGATCCGAAAGGACAGAGGACCAGATGGAGACTTCCTACCACACCATCAGCAGCGGGAAAGGGCTGACCCTGGTCCGCGTAGGCAACCTATCTCCACCCCCTCTCCATACAGAAGCCCCCTCCTCACCGATAGGCCTCCCGCCTGGCCTGCAGCTCCTCCCTGCGCTGTTGCTGGAGCGTGGGGTGGTGGTCTTCCCATGAGATCTTCGCTGTGGGAGGAGAGGAGCAGGTGAGGAGGGCAGAGAAAGCCCCCTGACCCCTGGCCTCAGCTACTCCCCCCTCCACTTGATCTACCCCTTGCCAGGTCCCTTGCCCGCAGAAGGATGGCTTCTCCCACGCTAGACTGCCACCTCCCCCTCCCCTCAACCTCCTCTCCCCCCGCCCCCCGCTCAACCCCGTGCCCCTGTCCCTCCGCCTTGGCGACTCCGGTTCATCTCTCCGATCCTCCCTTGCCCTTTCCCCCAACACACCAGCCCCCTCCTCTTTCCTGTGTGCCCCTCACCTGTCCCCTCCCGCAGCAGCAGGCTCCCCTCGCCCTCCAGCCACTGGTAGCAGGGGAAGCATAGCGGCGCGGCCCCCTGCGGCGGCGTGAGCTGGAGCCAGCGGCAGAACCAGGCGTCCCCGGCCGAGGGCGCGAGGGGCCGGGATCGCGCTAGGGGCGCCTTGTGGACGCGCACCAGCAGCACCTGGCCCACGTCCTGGGGGGGCGTCACCTCGAAGTCCTCCTCCTGTGGGGAAGAGACGTTTTAGTATCCTAGAGGGTCGTCCCTCCTGCTCCCTCCTCCGCCCGCACCCCTACCTCCCAAGCACTCACGGCGCCCGCGTTAAACTCTTTGCCGAGATGGTCCAGGGGCAGTGGGGGGGTCTCTCCTCGGGTCCCCACGATGCTGACAGACATTTTGTCCCACGTGCCGGCCCCGAAGGCCTCTCCGGTGGATACCCTCACCCTGAACTTGGCCATGGTGACAGCCGGAGTCTGGCTCTCTCCTGCTGGTCGGACTGCAGAGCCCAGTCGCTCACCCCCAGGGATACGCACCTCCGCACCCTGGCCAGGCAACTCTGAGTTCCTGTGGGTCCTATCACCTCCTCAAAAAGCAACCCCGGGCTCAGGGCAGAGAGGGCGGGGCTGAGAGGCAGGGCGAGAGGCAAGCTGTGTGGGCTGGTCTGCCCTGGGACGTGTAGGGACTGAGGTTTGCAGGGCAGGGCCTGGGACGTGTAGGGACTGAGGTTTGCAGGGCAGGGCCGGAAGGAATTGGGATCCAGTGCAGCTCGGGTTTATTTGTCCGCCTCTTTGTTTCTTTGTCTTCTTAGCCTTGAAAATCTATGCAGAGAAATTCCCTGGTGATCCAGTGGTTAAGACTGGCACTTCCAATGCAGGGTACACGGGTTCTATCCCTGATCAGCAAACTAAGATCCTGTATGTGGGGCAACAGGCCAGGAAAAAAAAAAAAAATCCATTTTTCTGCCATTTTAATGGAGCTTGGGGGAGGGGGCAAAAGCCAATGTTTGTTTTATCCAGAATAACTTAGAAGATCAACCTATTGCATTTCCCCATGCCTAAATCCCCACTAGTTCTATCCATTGTTCCCCATTCTGTTACCTTTTGTTGTTTTCTGTATATTTCTGCTGAAGCAGGAGGAACCTTGAAGCAGGAAACAGTTATATTCTCTTAGCTCTGGGAAATTTGGTGGGGAATCAGAAGAAGGTTGAGCTAGAACCAAATGATGTGGTCTCCTGTAAAATGTTTGCATTCATTTTATTTTCCTGTATGCATCTTACTTGGTTTCCTAAACTTGCAAAATTACAAAAAGTTAAGACAGTAGAAACAAGGAGGAGGAATTTTTTTAAATAAATTTTTTCTTTTAAGGGGTAGGAAGAGAAATAGGGCAATATCAGAGGATATGGCATGGAAGGAGAGCCGCTTTCAAGATGACCAACTCTTCTTACAAATGACTCTCAGTATTGAAGAAAGGCAATGCCAAAGAATGCTCAAACTATGGCACAATTGCACTCATCTCACACGCTAGTAAAGTAGTGCTCAAATTTCTCCAAGCCAGGATTCAACAATACGTGAACCGTGAACTTCCAGATATTCAAGCTGGATTTAGAAAAGGCAGAGAAACCAGAGATCAAATTGCCAACATCCGTTGGATCATCAAAAATCAAGAGAGTTCCAGAAAAGCATCTACTTCTGCTTTATTAACTATGCCAAAGCCTTGACTGTGTGGATGAAAACAAACTGTGGAAAACTCTTCAAGAGATGGGAATACCAGACCACCTGACCTGCCTCCTGAGAAATCTGTATGCAGGTCAGGAAACAACAGTTAGAACTGGACATGGAACAACAGGCTGGTTCCAAATCAGGAAAGGAGTACGTCAAGCCTGTATATTGTCACCCTACTTATTGAACTAATATGCAGACTACATCATGAGAAATGCTGGGCTGGATGCAGCACAAGCTGGAATCAAGATTGCCAGGAAAAATATCAATAACCTCAGATACGCAGATGACACCACCCTTATGGCAGAAAATGAAGAGGAACTAAAGAGCCTCTTGGTGAAAGTGAAAGAGGAGAGTGGAAAAATTGGCTTAAAACTCAACATTCAGAAAACTAAGATCATGGCATCCAGTCCCATCACTTCATGGAAACTAGATGGAGAAACAGTGGAAACAGTGGCAGACTTTATTTTCTTGGGGTCCAAAATCACTGCAGATGGTGACTGCAGCCATGAAATTAAGACACTTGCTTCTTGGAAGAAAAGCTATGACCAACCTAGACAGCATATTAAAAAAAAGAGACATTACTTTGTCAACAAAGGTCCATCTAGTCAAAGCTATGGTTTTTCCAGTAGTCATGTATGGATGTGAGAGTTGGACTATAAAGAAAGCTGAGCACCGAAGAATTGATGCTTTTGAACTGTGGTGTTGGAGAAGACTCTTGAGAGTCCCTTGGACTGCAAGGAGATCCAACCAGTCCATCCTAAAGGAGATCAGTCCTGGGTGTTCATTGGAAGGACTGATGCTGAAGCTGAAACTCCAATACTTTGGCCACCTGATGCGAAGAGCTGACTCATTGGAAAAGACCCTGATGCTGGGAAAGATTGAGGGCAGGAGGAGAAGGGGACGACAGATGATGAGATGGTTGGATGACATCACTGACGCCATGGACTCACAAACTCACGGATGGCATCACAAACTCATTGACATGAGTTTGAATAAACTCCGGGAGTTGGTGATGGATAGGGAGGCCTGGCGTGCTGCAGTCCGTTGGGTTGCAAAAAGTCAGACACGACTGAGCACCTGAACTGAACTGAACTGATCGGCTTCACACACTAGAACTACTAGGGGCCTTGGAAAAAGCAAGGCTCTGGCCTCTCCCCATGGTGTGGTATGCTGTCAATCTTGAGAAGAACTGCCACCAAGGCATGTTTGTGTTGTTGGGAATGAGGCAAGGACATTGATGCAGAGGAGAAGTGCTAATCTCAGAATTAAAATCCTGGACAAGAGAAAGAAGCAGGATCCAGAGCACAAGTTGGGACAGGACCCCAGCCTCTTATAGATACATAAAGCCAGAGATTAACAGGTTCAACAACAGAAAATTCTAACCATAACTGACTTTGGCAATTCACTTGGCTACTGTAACTGAAGTATCCAGTGTCAGTCAGTCAGTTCAGTTGCTCAGTCATGTCCAAGTCTTTGCGACCCCATGGACTGCCGCACGCCAGGCTTCCTTGTTCATCACCAACTTCCGGAGCTTGCTCAAACTCATGTCCATTGAATCAGTAATGCCATCCAACCATCTCTTCCACTGTCGTCCCCTTCTCCTCCTGCCCTCAATCTTTGCCAGCATCAGAGTTTTTTCCAATGAGTCGGTTCTTCTCATCAGGTGGCCAAAGTATTGGAGTTTCAGCTTCAACATCAGTCCTTCCAATGAATATTCAGGACTGATTTCCTTTAGGATGGACTGGTTTGATCTCCTTGTAGTCCCAGGGACTCTCAAGAGTCTTCTCCAACACCGCAGTTCAAAAGCATCAATTCTTCAGTGCTCAGCTTTCTTTATAGTCCAACTCTCACATCCATACATGACTACTGGAAAAACCATAGCTTTGACTAGATGGACCTTTGTTGACAAAGTAATGTCTCTTCTTTTTAATATGCTGTCTAGGTTGGTCATAGCTTTTCTTCCAAGAAGCAAGTGTCTTAATTTCATGGCTGCAGTCACCATCTGCAGTGATTTTGGACCCCAAGAAAATAAAGTCTGCCACTGTTTCCACTGTTTCTCCATCTAGTTTCCATGAAGTGACGGGACTGGATGCCAGGATCTTAGTTTTCTGAATGTTGAGTTTTAAGCCAAATTTTCCACTCTCCTCTTTCACTTTCACCAAGAAGCTCTTTAGTTCTTCTTCACTTTCTGCCATAAGGGTGGTGTCATCTGCATATCTGAGGTTATTGATATTTCTCCC